GATATCTTCCAATACAGCACAAGACTTTGTGAAGAAAGAAACTAACAATTGATGAAGTGAGCGCAAGAAGTAGACAGAAGAACTTCTAAGAAAAGAGCACACTGTGTTAGAAGGGAGTAGAAAAGCCTATTCAATGATTTCTAATTGCTTTGTTATCATTTTCATTTTTCTTATATTTATGACAAAATACTCTTCCAAATTCTACTCAATCACAATCCTATCACAAGGGCAAATCGCCTTTAGTAAATACTTACTTGGGATCTTAAGCTCTTTGGAATAATGTTGTTTGAAGTTACTAAGTGAGTCAAAAAGCAAAAAGACAAAGTCTCAGGGGTCAAAGAATTAGCATGATGCAAATTGATCTTGAGAGAATGGATAAAATATACATGTTTATGGATATTATACATTGAAATATATTTTATAATATATGCATATTGAGTTATGTTATGTTATAAAATATGCATTTTTAATACATAGAAATTTTTTTGTATCTGGCACTTTAGTCACATTGCTTTTAATTCTTTCTTGACATTTTTGAGAGATAATATATGAACAAAATTATTAAATTTATTTCCTTGAATGGTTAGCTTACACACTGAATACACTTCTACATGTATTCCTAAACAAAAATGATTCACAAGGAAAAAATATTTATTATGTTTACTTTTATCACAAATTTTATTTTACTTTTGTATTTAGGTTGGATTTCAATATCTAATTCTAGTGTGTTGGTGGCAAAAAGAAGGAAAAACTATTTAAGATTCCATCCTATTTATGGAGAAAGATAGAAGAAAAACATTTTAGGACGTAAGTCATTTTATGTCTTTGTAAAACACATACTATAATGTAAAAATAGCTCAAGGACATTGACATTCCACTTGAAAAACAAAGTGCTTAGGTTGTATTTTTTTCTTTTACCCAAACAAATGCAAAGGCAGAAACAGCACAACGTATCTGGGCGTCCTTGTGCTTTATGATGCTATCTCCCCTGAACACCTTTTTATTCTTTTATTATATAACTAGAAAGTTGTTGAATGTCTATTTTCTAAATGCCTGTTTTCTAAAAATTAGGAATTTCATATTCTGTGGTTAATTTACCTATTATTACTATTAAGATGATAATGTCATTTTTGCAAAAAATAATTAAAATACATGCACTTTCAATTGGACTTGTAGCACCTAACAATGAAATATAGTCATACAAAAGTTAACTATGGTATAAACATCCAAAAGAAGAAGTCTCACTGTGATCATAAAATGATGTTATTTTCTGTTCAGCAGTTCATGTTACTGCTGTTAATGCTAATTAATTAAAGGAGCTGTTGCAGTAATGTTCAAACAGGGAATCTGAGAAACTGAGAGGGCTTTTAGGTCTCCAACTGAAGTTAAGTCAATCTGGGCATAGGCAATCAAATGAAATGAAATAACTTGTCAGTGCTAAGCTTGCAAAAACTGTGAAGTTTGACTAGGGAGTAAAAGGATTATAATTAGATTTCCAATTGGATAATAACTAAATGGCAGAACGCAGTAAAAAGAAAATATTACTTTGTTAGATAATGGTACTGCTGTTTGGTTTTAGTTTTTATCTGCTCACTTGTACTTGTGCTAATTTAATTTGGTTTTATCAGCAAAATGCACTACACAAATGGCACTTGAATGTCATTTGCAAAAATCATTGATCTGAAGGTGCACTTAGTGACACCTGGTATGTTTATTTCATGTGAAGCAAAGATTAGTTGATAAGATGGTTGATGTGCTGTCTTGTAGTTCCCCAGCTGAGTTATTGAAACCTGAATGGAGTCATATTAGTGTATATACTTCACTGAAAACTTCACCTCCAGAGATTTCAGACACTGTCATCATACTGAGTATATATTCACTGCTATAGTGCCTGCAAACGTTCTGGAGAATGGTAAAGAGCTAACAAGGAAGTTGTGCAGATATTCTTTCACTGGAAAATGGATGTATGATTTTTTTGTCCTCAAAGAAATAATTAAGTATATAAAATGAAAGAAAGAAGCTGATAAAGTTGATAATACATATGAGAATCATAGTTCATGAGTATTTTGCACTAAAATTTATGTGGACATTATAATAAAATTTGACATGACTTTATTGCTTCCAAGGGTGGCCAGACAACATTTTTCCAATTCAAGAGATTTTACAGTGGAACTAATTGAATTTCAAAGGAAAAGCACCAGCTTTAATGATACATTTCTATCCAGCAGAGCTATCGACAATAGAAAGAGAAAGGGCTTCAGTGTTGTCTGAACTGTTTGGTGTGATGGCAATGAGTTTTGGAAATGGCATTGTATTGACATACATGAATTGATTCTCACAAACAGGAAATAATATTCTAATTAAAAATGGATAATTTGGGGAGGTAAAGTACATGAAAACAATATTAAAATATGGTTTAAAACAACACTAAAACAAAAAGATATTAAAGTTCAGATGGAAAAATATAATACACCAAGGCAAAATTCTTAGAAAAATAAGGAAGATGAATGCATTTTATGTTTTCCTACTATGATATCTTTTGTAAAGTTTGTCAATAAATATGTAAGCAATCTTTCAATTTGGACTGACAATATTGGGATTTTAATGCAGTTATTTGACCTATTTGAACTATATTAGAGATAACCATCTAATCCCCTGGTTAAATAAAAAAATAACATTTTGCTCAAATTAACTGAATTTTGATATAATATGATTGTACAATCATTTTAACATGAGATATTTATGCAAGTTCCCAATGACATTGAGAATCTTATTACTTGTAGTGTTTAAATGTTGTACTAATTAATGACATAATTCCATTATTATCATAAATAATTATATTGTACTCTAAAGGGCAGATGTTCCATAAGAAAGTATTAATAAATCATATATATATATTTATGTAAATATATGTATGTGTGTGCGTGCATATTGGCAGTACTAAGATATGAAACTCAATGATTTTTCAATTTGTTGGCAGGCACTTGAGCCAAGCCTCCAGTCCCATCATATTTTCTATGAGCACAAATGCCACAAATGCCAAACAATTTGATTTGTATTTTAAAAAATAAGTCAATTCCTTTGTTTTAATATAAGCTCCAGCCCAAACCATCTAAAATTCTATTGCTTTCTGGTTTGTTAAGATAGACAACAGCCATAGAAGTTATTAAAAGCAAATAATCGGCATGTCTTTCCTTATGTACAAATGAATATACATAAGCCATTCTTTACAAGTATTATAAAAATAAAATTTTGGAGAATAATAACTTCTGCATATATGACCAAAATAGCAAGAAATGAAATAAATTTGGGACAATTTGAATGCTTCCATTTATCTCAAAGTTTGGCAAAACAATACTAATATGTTCTGTAGGCTAAATTATATGTGGAAGAAATAGTAAAGAACTGGATGGAAGCACAGGGTTAAAGGATAATGACACTTTTTCGTAGTGTGTGTGGTTTACTCCCTCTGATTCTAATATTAACCTTATATCCTACTCAAATTAGAGGCATAATCAAGATCAATATTCCTTGATGACAGTGTCTGAATTTCTGTGTCACTGATTCAGAAAAGATGAATTCAATGTTTCCAGCTAATATACGCCCTACTACATTCCTGGTATGTGAAGGCAACCTCCAATTCCAGGTCCACAACTGGTGAGATTTTCTTCATGAACTTAGTTGCAGCAATTGATTGGTCAAACAACAAATTCCATTCAAATTTGTTTTACTAACATCCTAGACACAGTCTTTAAATTGAGGTTAGAAAGCAGGCAAGCAGAAAATGGATAAGAAACAGTAAATCTTCACTGGCCCACTTAAGTGTGCAGGCTTTCACATCTAACAAAGTTAATGCATTAGGTATATACAGGTGCAGCAAAATAATCCATTTCCAGAAGTGGAATAAGCTCTGATATGCCCAAATGTATAAAGATGATTTTCTAAACACTACATAAGTGAAGGTTTCTAAATTTCATGAAACTGCCACATAATATGTTGAATCTTTGGACAAATGCATATGGATCTTTTGGATCACATCTGTTGCCTTCATATAGGTACAGACACACAGTACAAAGAATCAGTTTGTTAAATCTTCCACAAAGAACATATTCATGGACATGTTTGCTTTTTAAAATTAGGAAATAAGTATCGCAGAGAAAGGTCTATTTTTAAGTAAGGATTTTGTTTCATAATAAGTGTGAACAATAAATGTGAACTACATAAATGTAAAGGGCTAGAAAAGTACATTAGTATTACATCGGTTAATTTCCAACAGTCATATGAAATTCCTATTTTTAACTGTTTCCATTCATGAGATTATATTCATGTATTTCATATGATTTCTTTTTTTAAATTTCATTTTATTGTAAAGATTCTGTACAGAGGGGTTACAGTTACACGAATAAGGTAATGAGTATATTTCTTGTCAAACATTTTAACCTCCTCCTTCTCATATGTTTCCTTACTACCAAATATATAAAATTTTTCCAATGATCTAAGTATTAGTAGAAGTAATGAATTATGAATCACACTCTTCATATTTAGGTAGTTTCTTAAATTAGTGTAAAGATTTATAAGTTAAAAATTATGTCTAGAATATCTGTAATATATCAGTAAGTTACAATTATTATATTTATGGCCTTTGCAAATAGCAATTAGTAATGCTTAAAAAACTTAAAAGTAAATTACTATCATAGTTATACACTTTTAGAATACTTCTACATATAAATGCATACCCTTTTCACAACTAAACATATAAGAAATTTGCTCATATTGTATATGTGAAATTTGTACTCTAAATGCAATTGTGTTGTTATTCTGTTTTGAAGTCACATGAAGTGTATTTTTCTAAAAAAATATCAGTGCACGTTGCTTCTTATGTCATATTATAACAACAGTAAAACTTATTCAGCCTCTTTGAGTAGTAACATAGGATTTCATTCCCACATTCTCCAGGGGTTATATATTAGCAGATTATCGAAGTATGCTTTTTACCATACCTTGCATAGCAGCACTATCATGAGGAGTCCCATTGCTTTCTATTTCAATATCTGGAATTCCAGTATCTGAAAGAATTGGCAATCAATATTTAGATGCAATTCTATATTTTCTAATTCACATTAAAAGTAGTAGTTTTGGCTCACACGTGTAAACCTAGCTATTCAGAATACTGAGATCTGAAGATCACAGTCTAAGGCCAGCCCAGAAAGTCTGGGACTTTTCTTCATTTAACCACCAAATATAACCAGAAGTGGAGCTGTGCTCAAGTGATAGAGCACTAACCTTGAGCAAAAAAGCTAAGGGACAGCACCCAGGTTCTGAGTTCAAATCCAAGACTGGCATATATACACACATAAAAGTGAGTAGTTTGGTCCTATGGATAATGCCAGGCCTTAGGTAATGTGTGTGTGTGTGTGCGTGCATGTGTGTGTGCGTGCATGTGTGTGCATGTGTGTGTGTTTAATAGTAGGAAAAATGAAAAATAATGATAAACTGTAGCTGAATTACACAATTGAAATATGTACTTCCAGGGACATAGTAAATACCGATTTATCCCATTTCTTTATGGTGAATTTTAGGATTTTAATCCATCTATAAATACATGCTAAAACCATCAGACTGTCCTGACTAGAATGAAAAAAAAAACAATGAATATGATTGCAGAAATGGAAGTGAATTTATAAGTTGTGATGGATGATGGTATTATCTTTATGCTAAGTGCAAGTGTTAACCAAAAATTATGGTTTGTGGTCTTTAAGTAGTCCCAGCTTTAGGAGCAAATGCATTACTATTGTGCTCTTTAGATAAGCTACAAAAGCTAGGAATCATCATCTGAATAGATTCTGAGTGCATATACTTATGGGAAAGTATGTGTATTTACTTGAACATTTAATTCACATTGGGTCAGAATGAGGTAAAATATTGCTACCTGTTTTCAAAATTAAATATAAAATGAGAAAAGATTGAAATGGAAAGATTCCACAGTAATTCCAAGAATATTCTTAGAGCCAGGCACCGCTGGTTCACACTTGTAATCTTAGCCACTCAGGAGGCTGAAATCTGAGAACTGCAGTTCAAAGCCCATGGAAATTCCCAATTAATCACCAAAAGGTCAGAATGTACCTTTGGCTCAAGTGGTTGAGTGCTAGTCTTGAGCACATAAGCTCATGGTCTGTACCCTGAGTTCAAGCACCAGGACTGGCACACAAAAGCAATTCTTAGCAAACTTTACCAATCACATTCTCTTATTACATTAACATTGATGGAGTCAGAATAAAAGTAATCAGCATCTTAGTGTTGATGAAAATCAACTCCAGCACATATCAACGTTAGTTAACATGGATAGATCTAAAACACTTATATTAGTCTAACTACCTATACTAAGTTTGAAAATTTTTGTATTATTTCTAGGATTTTTGTACCAACGGTAATTGAGATTATTTGGGTTTGCTTAACTTTACATTGACTTTTAATTATTTCTGGACAAAGTGTTCATCTCACCCCCTTTCTCTTTTATTTTCATTTTCCATATTTCCTCCTTCCTTCCTTCCTTCCTTCCTTCCTTCCTTCCTTCCTACCTACCTACCTTCCTTCCTTCCTTTCTCTTTCCTTCCTTCTTTTTCTCCCTCTCTCCCTTCTTTCCTTCCTCCCTCCCTTCCTTTTTCCTTTATTATTCACCTTTAAATCAGATTTCTCTTTGTTTACATAGAAAATGAAAGTCACTACCTTTCAACATCCTCAGGCCACTGTCATTATTAGTAGTTTGCTTAAGTGCCTGCTCCACTTGCTCCCGACGCTTTGATTCAAATTCCAAGGCTTCCTGCAGTTTTCTTTTGGCTTTTTTCTCCTTCTTCAGGCGCTTTTGCATGGTAGCTGAAATGTGGAGAAGTAATTTACAAATTCCTCATCAATATAACAGTGCTGCAGGTTTTGATGAGTTACAAACCACTGATACAGGTGTAGAAAGAGAGAGACAGAAATGTACCTGTTGACATAAAACAGATATTTTTGGTCCCAATTCTCATTTGGTTCATCCATGGGAATTTTGTTCACTACATCAATTGCATAACCAAAAACCTCAGTGTAAGTGCAAAATGTATATGTTCTGTAGTATGCATGCACTTGTATGGTGATGGCTTGCAGAAGTATTTTCTACTTTGATACATTTCATGCATTTAATGACAGTATTAAATATTTTATATTTCTCTTAAACTATTCTTATTCATTAAGTAATTGCTCTTCATGTTTTAAAATAAAAACCCTGAAAATATATTAGGTTACATAACATGGTTATTAAAACAAAAGTGGATGGTGTCTATTTCTCTCAAATACCAGCAGTTTTAAAGGAAAAGATTAATGCACCTATCAGTTTCTTCTTTCCCTTGTATACACACACATGTACAGAATATTTTTCAGCAATGATTATATGACGTTATTAAAATGTTACTACAGCAATGTCTTTGACAATCGAGAAAAGTCAAAACACAACAGCAAAGCCAAAGAACAGCTTCTATGCCTCAATTCTAAAGGTTTTATGTTTCCATGAGAAACTTTAAACTGTGCTCATGCAAGATTATTTCTAAACTCTAAACCTTAAATCTATGACATTCCAGCAAATAAAGTTATTGAACTCCATAAATATACTAGTTTATAGAGGTTCTAAGTGGATATGGTATTTTCTGAATAAGTTTCAATTAAAAAATAAGATTCTGAAGTTTTGGCAATAAAACAAATTATGTAACATATGAAAGAAATTTTGGTGGTACTGGTTTTGAACTGAATTCTAAGTTTTCTGGGCAAGAGCTTTACTGTTGAGTTACTATTTAAGTCCTAGATTTTGAAATGTTAAAAGCATTCATATATATTTAACATATTTCAACTTAACTGATTTGTAGGCTAATTTAAATTTCAGTTCTATTCATCTCATAGTCACTGTTTTTTTTTTTCTTTTTTAGGTCCAGTCTTAGGACCTGAACTCTGGGCCTGGGAGGTCTCCCTCAGCTCTTCAGCTCAAGGCTAGCGCTCTACCACTTCAGCTACAGCGCCAATTCCAGCTTTTTCCTTTTTGCTTATGTGGTGCTGAGGAATCGAACCCAGGGCCTCATGCATGCAAGGCAAGTGCTCTACCACTGAGCCACCTTCCCAGCCCGACACTGTCTTTTTCTTTAACTAAACTTGAGCAACTTGAAAACAGTAAGTTATAATTACATTGTCATAAACTTCAAACAAAAATTCATGTCTCACATAGTAACAAAATTGAATGTAGAAAGAAAATATGGTTCCTAGTATTTTTGATGAAAGAGTTGAATATAGTTAAACATAAAAGTTCTTTACTATAATCATATTAATATCATTCAAATAACATCAATTTAAGCAGATATCTAGATTTATTAGAATAATCTCAATGTTATTACTCTTTTCCTATTTTATTAGGATATTTTAGGCATATAAAGGTGTTTCATTGTGATGTGTGCACCCATGTATACATTACAACTTGGTAAAACATATTTCCATTGTTTAAACGAGATATCTGAATTTATTGACATTAATGAAAAATGTAACATTTTTCATTATAAGCAATTTTTCTATCTAGTGGAATCAATGATGCAAAATGCTCTATACATTGCATCTGCTGAAAATTACAATCTTGTACATTGTAAACATTATCAAAACCAGCTATATTTTAAAATGATAATAAAGGTAGTTTATTTAGACCCCAATATATGGAACATTTCACTTGAAATATGTGACATGTAGATGTTATGATAATGCTACAAGAGAAGCAATATCATTTCCATGTCATAGAAGGAAATTCAATCTTTAATATTTACCCAGTCCTTAAATTTACCTAAGATCACATAGCTAGAAGTTGGTAAAGGCTGAGAACTAAAGGTTTCATATGTGGTTATCTCAAAGCATGAGGACCACAAAGTTGTTTAAACCAACACACAATCAATAAGGTTTCCTGGAGCTCTATATTTGTATGTTTTTCAATGTTTGCTCTGCAAAGGATATTAGTCTATATGATATATGTGTTTCATTCAAGCAATACTCTGGCAAACAACAAAAAATTAGCAAAGTAGAATTTTTTTAATGTGTACCGTGTTTTGTTCAATTACATTAAAAGGTCAAGTATTCTTTCTATATACATATATATATTGTATATGTTATTATGGAGTTTGAGTATGTAATGTTTTATATATTACTAATTTATAATACATACAATAAATATGTGCACAATGTTCTTTCCATTGAGGAAACATATAGTTTAAAAATTAATATTTTAGTATAGAACTTTTTTATTGTAAAGATGCTGTACAGAGGGTTTACAGTTACATGAGTAAGGTAATGAGAATATTTTTTTGTTGAGCATTGTTACCCACACCTTTTTTCTCCTATTATCCCTTCCTTCCCCCACCTTCACCACTCCTCCCCCCACCCTGCCCCCAAGGCTGTGAAGTTTATTTCCAACATAGTGTCTTATGAGTCTCATTGTTACAATGGGTCATCCTGTGTCCTTACTTCAGAATTTTGTTACTCACTTCTCCTCCCCAAATTAGATAAATGTATATACAAAATGCAGGGTACCAAAATCAAATGCAGTGACAACAGGGGGTTTTCTTTAGTTTCTTTTATATATTCTTCCCCCTATGGTACAAATTAATTTTTAGTGCATAATCCAGTATGTCTCCATTCTCTGCTCTGTCTCCATCTATACATCCACTATCCAGTATTCATCATTACAGTTTGTATTATTTCCTTGCTTCTCACACTGTATCACCTGGCACCATTTACTTCATAAAACTCAAGGGCTCTCTAATATCTGTATATAATCTCCAATATATGAAGTCGTTTCTCTTTGTGCCTATACTGATAACTCTGTCTAGAATACCTGTACATCTCCTTATGTTCATGTGTCCTTATTTAGCCTATTGATCTTTTAATATGCAATCATAATATTCAATGCATATCCCATGAAACTAGGGAAATTGAAGGCAACAGTTGGGTTGGGAGGGATGGGGGAGAATGATGATAACAATGACCAAGATGCATTGTACTCAAAATGACATGTTGAATTGTAACTCCTTTGTACAACTACTTAAGGATAATAAAAATATATTTAAAAAGATAAAAGCATGGGGAAATATATCTTTACTATCTATATTCCCAGCAAGCTAAACAAGCCTTTATCTATATCCCTACAATGTGCACAATTACTTTTTACAAATTTATCTAACAAACAAACTGGTTTTGTCAACCTTCTACAATTTAAATCCCTGAAGGATTTACAGGAACTGAGTTTCACTCTATAATACAAGAATCTAGTACTGGGCCTAGCAGAAGAGTAATTCATGTATAAATATTAATACTCATAGACTATTCCAGATCCAGGTATATTTTCTAAAATTGAGAGAGAATGATGAATACCCATGTTTTCAAATCTGCAAGGGACCCAAAATACAGATCTAATTCTTTTAGCACAGAGACAGCATTCAATTATAACCTTGTGGGTTATACACAGGATTTGATTTGTAGATAGTCATTTCCTCTCAGTATTTCTAAGCTGCCCCGGAGAATATTTCCATTACTATTTCAATACTAACAACATGACATGCATTAAACTTACTTCTGCTTTGAAGTTCCACTGCAAGCTGTCTTTCTAGGTTTTCTCTAATTTCTCTCTCTCTGTAGAGCTCCATTCGCAGCTCCTTCTTTTCTTGCTGAATCTGCTTCTCCTGGATACGAGCATTATCCAAGGCCACTTTCAGCAGACCCTGTCAAAGTACAGCAAACAGCATACAGTTCATCTTATCTGTTTTAACTTTGAAAATATGGAATAATTTATGTAGGTGCTAATGTCTTGTATTACATTTATTTTGTTTATAGAAATATTGTTGACCTGAATGTTGGTCAACAGAGTCTCCACAGAGGACAGACTATCAGCAAAAATGAATGGTCCAGGGAATCCAGGGGGCAAGGCCTGCCCAGGAGCCAGCTGGATCTTGTCCAAGGGCGACTTCATCATTGGAATTTGAACTGGTCCCTCTTCTGCAAGATAAAATTAATATCAAAAGAAGTTTTTATATATTATTAGCTCAAACATTTCACCAGGTCACCTTTAAAAGGTATCTATATAAATTCTGGTCCTGAAACAAAATGATGCATATTCACAATATAGAATACCTATTTTTCAGCTGCCTCTATTGTTCTTATATGATTCAGTCAAGAACTCAAGAATACAAAAGAACAAAGGTAATGGGTAGGAAGAAGTTTTGTGTATATATAATTGATAAAATTTAAGATATATACAAATGACCTGTATTTTTATAAATATAATCACATTCCTTTTTTGGAAAACCAGAAGGATTTTTTCCCTCTTTGTATTTACCTATCTACCCATCTATCTTCAATTATTTTAACAGCTTCATTGAGGAATAATTTATACACAAGACTTCACTTACATGAAATTGATCCTCTGTAGTAATTTTGCATTTTTATCTGACCATCACAACATTACAACATACCTATTGTTAAAACTTTGGATCTCTGGTTTTCACCTTGGTATGCATTATTCTTCATTCTGTAATGGTTTGCCCTTTCTGGATATTATACACAAGTGGAATTATAAAACATGTAGTATTTTGTGCCTGGCTTCTTTCACATGAATTTGTACATGCTCTGTCATGCATCAGGAGTTCCTTCCATTTTCATTGCTAAATAGTATTTTATCCCATGAACACACCACATTTTGTTCAAATATTAACTATTTGGTAGGAATTAGGATGTTTCCCAAAATATATGCAAAGTATGAAAAAAAGGCTTCTTTCTAGTTAGAAATTTCAGTGCCTCACAATATTTGAAATTTTTATTACCTTTAAGTAGTTGTACAAAAGAGTTACAAAGCATTTATGAATTTAACAAAGCATTTTATGAATACAATGCATCTTGATCAAAGTCCCTTCTTTCAACATTCTCAACCATCCCTTCCTACCTACCCCTTCCCTCATTCTTCTTATATTTGTAGGATATACATTGGATTTTTGTCTGCATTTTCCCCTTTCTTATCTTCATTGGCCCACTTCTTTCCCCTTGACCCCACCCAAACCTTTTGAATGCTCTTTTCCTGTTTTTTTATAAACACTTTGTTTATAATTCCCTACCTTTTATTTCTCTATTGAGTGGAGGTAACAGATTTGTACTACTACACATCATCAAGAACCAGTCTGCAATGCTTGGTTTTAAACAATATATGAAAGAATGCATGTAAAACTGCTTTGTAAGCAGAAATACCATAACAGGACCAGGAAACATACAAGGCAGAAAATATATTAGGGATTTTATAATTATTATTGTTCACTAATAGGAATATTCAATTCTTACTTGATTTAATTGGAAGTCAGATCAGCATGCATTGTACTTACAAACTGTCATTGAATTGAAGAATATATAAGATAAGAATAAGTTAAGAATATATGATAAAATAAAAAATACAAAATAATTTAAAAATCTTGGTTTTGGTCTGGCTTCTGCAGGGATGCAAATATGGATTTACAATATAGTTAGAATACATTTTTTCAATTGCAATCAGCTTTTATATGTGGTACAGAGTCTTGAACCCTATTGATTTTACAGTCACCATATTTTGCTGTGGGATTTCTCATGTGAGAAGTTGAGGCATGCATTATGGGAACCTTCATTTAGATTATTTGATGGAATAGAATTTTCTCTGAATAAAATGCATTTAATATACATCATTTTACTATTTCCTATTGTTTTCAAAACCAATAAAGATAAAAGTGCTGATTAGAGAATCAGCAGTTTTATATTATGTAAATCCCAATGTTAGAGTAACTTTTAGTATTTAGTAATTTAAAGAATTTAATAAAATGGATAAATGATACCATTACATTTTTTATTGTAAAAATACCATACATGGGCAAGGTAATGAGTACATTTTTTATCAAACATTGTTGCGTCCTCCTTTGTTTCCCCTTACCATCCATTCCCTACCTCACCCCTATTCTTTACTATAAGAACCTTTGATAATTTTCTTAGGAATTGCCTTTTAGAAAGTTTAAAAAAAGACTTTCTGGATCACTGATACATAAGCTTCCTGAAAGTTTCATTTACAAATTCTGTAGTTATATGAAGTTGGAATTTAAAGTTAGCTCTATATTCAGTGAATTCTTTTGATAATATGTTTTGTATTGTTTTAGATAACTGTGTTTGAACTCAGAGCCCTGGCACTTTGCAGGCAGGTATTCTATGTATGATTTGAGCCACAATCTCAGCATTTTTTGTTTCCTTCCTTCTTTCCTTCCTCCCTCCCTTCCTTCCTTCCTTCTTTCCCTCCTTCCTTCCTTCTTTCCTTCCTTCCTTTTTCTTCCTTTTTTAAAAAATAGGGTCTCTTATTCCTTATGTTAGGACTGACCTGAAATGCTACCTACTATTTATACTTTCCATAGCTGGAATAAAGCCATAACTTCTCTTTCTTCCGTCCTCCGTCTTCCCTAATCACTTCCAATGTGACCGGTGGATTTGAAAGAGGTAATATATTATAGTTATAAATTATGTGACTATATTCACCTACATGGTTTCTTTGGTATATTTTCTCCTAATTTTTTAAACCCAAATCCTAAAACACATTTCTTAGCTAGCAGCTTTACTTTATGTGTGTATATGGGGCGGGGGGGGGGCGGAATTGAACATGGGGGCTGGGCACTGTCTTTGACCTTTGTTACTCAAGGCCAGCACACTTGATCCACAGGTCCACTTCTGTTTTGTTTTGGTTTGGTTTTAGGGCTTAGTTGGCCATAGGAGTCTCACAGACTTTCTTGCCTGGGCTGGCATTGAACTCTAATCCTCAGATCTCAGTATGACAAGTAGCTAGGATTACAGGAGTGAGTCACTACTGCCTGGTAGCACTACTGTGTTAAAAGTATAGTTCTCAACACCTCGCCAAACAATGTTATGCTTTAGTTATTATTTGATATCTACATTAGGGTAGGATTTTGTCTTCTCCATATGAGTGCATTAAGAATGAATCAAATGACTTTATGATGATTTATCAGCATTTATAATAACCAGAGCCTCTAGATCTTTGTATTACTGATTATACATCATATTGTAAGGGTTTATATAGTCTTCAAGGTCTACTTTTACAAAATAAACTGTTACACAGTCAGAACATTGACTTCAAGGATTCGTGTATTTTCAGGGATAGCATAATATTTTCTTTGAATGTATATTTTGTATCAGACACAGAGATCTTAAAATTAATGGATTTATTATTATACACACATACACAACAACAACAACAGTAGTTAGAATCTTAGAAGTCCTTTTCCATAAAGGAAAAAAATATATTCAGTATGCATAAAACAAAATTATAACTATGTTAAAATAGCTAGAAGTCTTCGATTTGATGATGAATGAAATGATGTTATATTGGCTGAAAGGAAAATTACTATTGACTATGAAGATGGGTTGCATGGTCTATGGATTGTAATGTTGCTGTACAGTAGATTGAAGTTTCAAAATAGTATTAGTCTTCTTTAAAGAGATAGACACAGCTGAATTAGGTGTCGCTTGCTGCAGTGAAGAACAAATGCAAAAAGAATCATATTTCATCAGACCTAGTCAACACCAGGAACATAAATAGAAATATAAGAGGTATGCAGGCAATGATTCATTTTGATAATCTGGCCCAAGAGAGACACATAGAGACAGCACACAGATCTAAGCTTCTACCAAAAGACAAATAGGACACAGAGGGTGGGAACCAGGATGACAGTGCAGCAGAGGTCACATCGATTTTCAGCAGCAGTTTTCACACAGATGAGATAACCCTGGACTCTATTTGGCCCATTGTTCATATCCTACCTGTCTCACAAGCAATAAATTTCCTACTCCTAGAAAACGGGCAGTAAAGAAGAAAGATTCTACTTATGACTTCTTATGATTAAGTTTCTGTGCTAACCAAACATGCTTTTCAGACCAAGGTCACATTGCATGTTAAGGTCTGTAATAGCCATAAGCTAGCAGAAGGATATTATGTTTCAGTGTACATGCATGGAACCTGAGGATATTCATCATGTTCCTTCCCCTTTGATTGAAATCTGCTACAAAAACGAATGATAAATCTACTAGAAATTGATTTCAATTTTTTAATGGGTCTTCCAATATCCAAATGGCATCTAAGTTTTGCTCAGAGTTCAATTAAGTCACTGTTGTGTAGAAGTGTATTATGCAAAGTTGAGAAATCCTAATTGGCAATGAAACTGAAATTAGGACAAAGAGCTGAAACATAGACTGTCAGTGAAATAAAAACATTCCTTTGTAACTACAAGAGAGTTTTGATTTTTTTATTTTAAAAGTCTAGCATTCAAAATGTGTATATTAATACCCTTATCAGCACCTATATCGAAATGATATAAACCAAAGGCAGGGACACTGCCATCTATTCAAGGACACAAACAACCTTTCCATTTATTGAAGAAAAGTGAAGATGGCTTTTATTGAGCCTGTTTGTTAAACCTGCTGTACTTGGGAATCCACTTAGAGAACAGGCTCTTTATTTTAATTTCTTGCTTAGGGCCCAGATGAATAGATGTAAAAGTTGACAAGAACATAATTTGTAGGGGAAAAAAGGATAAATATATGGTAAATACTCTGAATGGAAAAGTGCCCTTGAAAATTAAAGTGAAGGCTGCTAGAGACATTTTATATGACTCCAGTGTTTATTTTCCCACTTTCTTGTGGAGTTAAGTGTTTCTTCTTTCCTCTCAGCTTTGAGAATTGTAATACAAGAATAGAAACAGAACACAGCTGACTCACTGAGTAGTGGGGGGGGGGGAATGCAGCTACCTACCGGGTCATCAGTTTTATTCTTTAACAAGTAAATTATATTCCATTATTTGATTTGAGAGCTTTCCCTTAAATACAGCTGGCCCAAGGGAATCTCCTTTGTCGATGTCATTAGTATTACATTCAGCACAAGCAAGACACCTGCTTCCCTCTTCCAAACTAAGGAACAATAACAGCAACAA